ATAATAGTGTATTGTATATATATATATATATATATATATATACTAATTCACAAACAGAGTTGCAGTCAAAGCACTGCAATGCACCATGAGCGTCACCCACATTTGTTGTTATTATGAGCTACGAAGGTAAAGACGCACACGTACCCATCGAAAACCGAAGTGCACGAGTACATCTTCGACCTAACACACGATGCGAATTGTATTACGAACTGATGCCGCTGATTTTTTCGGGTCTATATTCCAACTACCGGACAGACCAGGATTGCGCAAAAGAATGTATATTGACAAGCTACTTATCCATACAACACGAACAAATCTGAGCCCTTGTAAAACGCAGTATGCACGAGATACGAGAAGTTCCCTTGAAGTGAGTAGAGGACAGGGTCAGCACTCAATCGAGATGACATACCCGTGTGAAGCGATCGATTGCGAAACCATGGCCCTGAACATTGGATGGGAAGACAAAGTATGAATATGAACGACCAGACGATGCTGATCCTTAGCACAACCGATGAAACCCCGCACAGTAGGTTCACAACCGGTGCACAGTCTGCTTGCTCCGCTGCAAGGTGACTAGGTATACTGTATCAGGTAAAAAGTACAGACATACCACTTCTCGTGAATTGTAAACTGGATCATATCTGGTATCAACTCCACAACTACTATCACCTCAATTCTTAAAACTATGGAGGTATCTTCTGACCTATGCACGGCAATTCGAACTAGCACTGGCATCACCACTCTTTCAATACGTATACATATACATATCTTAAAACAATACATACATAACAATATAACAATATAACAATATAACAATATAAATATCTAAACTATCTATAATTATCGAGATAGGTTTATAGATATATAGGTATATATACATAGACATATATGTATACATATACATATATAAACATACATACATATATGTATACACATATACACAACATACACACACAAACACGTACACACATACACACACACAGATATATATAAATATACACATACATAAACACATACATTTCTATACGTGCATAATTATAAAATGTGTCTGTTATGTAAATGCATGTTCGGTACTTCGCGCACTTACATTGACATCCCCATTTTTTTAGCCGTTCCACAAAGTCCTTCGCATCTGCTGCCGAAGATCGCGGGTCATCATCGTGGAAGAAATAATCCGAATCTGAATTCACCGCAAAAATCAGGGGGACGTTTTTAATCCCGTCTAACCCGAATTCTTCCCTGAGTAGTTTGCTCATATCGGGGCCATGCAACCAGAAACACCGATAGTATTTGCCTGGACTGGCCATTCTGTGTATAGGAGTATGGGTAAATATATTTGATATGGTATTTATCGTGTAGTGCTCCAAGAAGTGGGTTCATTGAACGAGTAATCTATCACATAGCACTTACTAGCTGATTGGTACGTATATCTCGTCCGTCAAGCAGACAGCACACAGCCGCTATACGGATATTCTATACGTCAATCTACTAAAGGTACTCATTTACCAAGCAACTGACGCGCATCAACTTCTATAGTTATGTAAGCTTCTGTTAAAAGATTATACTCGCAGTCGGTAATTATGATTGCTACTCCATCAAGGCATATAGTATTGTCACACCCCAAAATTCAGGTCAAGGCAAACAGCACCCCTAGAACAAGGATCCCATTCGAGCACACAATCCTATGGTGTACCTATCAACTGTGAAAACGAGCAGATTGTACCGAAAATCGCACTTTGAGGCTACCCGATACACACTCATATTTTCCATAGTGCGCACAAGATCACAATGAAGATCAATCACAGACAAGGGACACAATGAAGATCAATCACAGACAAGGGACACAATGTTTAGCCGTACAGACTGTACACATGGTCCTCACATACTCGCTGGTTCGCACGAACTCATTCTCACAAATTTCTTCCATGCTTGCTTTCACAATCTCCTGCGAATGGAATTTATAAAGGTCAATGGGTGATCAGGTACGCTGTGACTATCGCAGGAATATGTACCGCTATATGAATACATGTATAATGAACACCTAGCGATACGCTTCTCCCACTAGTCAAGGTACGATGTGACTATCGCAGGATGTACCGCTATATGAATACATGTATAGTGAACCCCTAGCGATACGCTTCTCCCACTAGTCAATTTCATATTCCTTCGGGGTTTGTACTTCAGATACTGCACACGTGTGGTAGGTCAGTCACTACCAAGAAGTGAGTATCCATACTAGACTACACCCATTGGGATGTAAACCCAAAAAGCACACCGGGACCCTACTTTATGTATAGAACTGTATTGAGACATGGTGTCATAGATATTAGACCCCTTTCAAGCACATCACAAAACAAAAGAATGTCAGACAATGCAAAAATCGAAAGTAAACTTGTTTTAGCCTGCAGACGGCTATTTGCAAACGCTCTACCTATTGGATTCGCTTGCCTCCGTACAAGCGCAGTTGCATAGTCGTAGCGCCAATATAGCTATACATTACAACCGCTATCAGCCCTTCTGCACTATATTAATCTAAAAGGTTGTTTACTAGGACCAAACCTCAAGCAAAACCATGACACTACAATTGAATCCATGGCACATACTGAATATTTACAATATTTAATAGAGGTGAAAATACATCCATGCACAAGCAAATAAATCTGGGAAAGTCGAGTGTATATATATACACACACAGGCACACACACATATATATATATATATATATGCATATACATAAATACACACACCCACAAATATGTATATATATACATATATATATATAAATATAAATAAATGCATACACACTTATAT